GTAAAAATCGGGGGTGTTTGTCCTTTTATTACTGAATAGTAAAAGATTTTTAGCGGCGGCGCTGTGGCTCACGCCTGTAATCCTAGCTCTTGGGAGGCCGGAGGGGCGGATTGCTCAAAGTCAGGAGTTCAAAACCAGCCTGAGCAAGAGCGAGACCCATCTCTACTATAAATAGAAAGAAATTAATTGGCCAACTGATATATATATAAAAAATTAGCCGGGCATGGTGGCGCATGCCTGTAGTCCCAGCTACTCGGGAGGCTGAGGCAGAAGGATCACTCAAGCCCAGGAGTTTGAGGTTGCTGTGAGCTAGGCTGATGCCACGGCACTCACTCTAGCCTGGCAACAAAGTGAGACTCTGTCTCAAAAAAAAAAAAAAAAAAAGATTTTTTTAAAAATGTATTTTGGATATTTATCCTTTTCCAGATACATGTTTGGAATAATTTTTACCAGTCTGTGGTTTGCCTATTCATTTTCTTAACACTGTTTTTTGAAGATTTTAATTTTTTTTCTTTTTTCTTTTAGCGTATTATGGGGTTACAAGTGTTAAGGTTACATATATTGCCCATGCCCCCCTCCCCCGAGTAAGAGCTTCAAGCATGACCATCCCCTAAACGTTGCACATCTTACTCGTTGTGGTTGTATGTACCCATCCCCTCCACCCCCCTCCCACCCTCCCGACACCCGATAAATGTTACTCCTATATGTCCACTTAGGTGTTGATCCGTCAATACCAATTTGCTGGTGAGTACATGTGGTGCTGGTTTTCCATTCTTGAGATACTTCACTTAGTAGAATGGGTTCCAGCTCTATCCAGGAATATACAAGAGGTGCTATATCATCGTTGTTTCTTTTTCTTTCTTTCTTTTTTTTTTTTTTTTTTGAGACAGAGTCTCACTTTGTTGCCCAGGCTAGAGTGAGTGCCGTGGCATCAGCCTAGCTCACAGCAACCTCACACTCCTGGGCTCAAGCAATCCTCCTGCCTCAGCCTCTTGAGTAGCTGGGACTACAGGCATGCACCACTATGCCTGGCTAATTTTTTCTATACATATTAGTTGGCTAATTAATTTCTTTCTATTTATGGTAGAGACGGGGTCTCACTCTTGCTCAGGCTGGTTTCGGACTCCTGACCTCCAGAGATCCGTCCGCCTTGGCCTCCCAGAGTGCTAGGATTACAGGCATGAGCCACCACGCCCGGCCTTCACCGTTGTTTCTTAAAGCTGAATAGTACTCCGTGGTATATGTACCACATTTTATTAATCCACTCATGAATTGATGGGCACTTGGGTTGTTTCCACAGCTTTGCAATTGTGAATTGTGCTGCTATAAACATTCAAGTGCAGGTGTCTTTTTTCATAAAGTGACTTTTGATCTTTTGGGTAGATGCCCCAATTGAAGATTTTAATTTTTTTTTTTTTTTTTTTTTTTTGAGACTGAGTCTCACTCTGTTGCCCAGGCTAGAGTGAGTGCCGTGGCATCAGCCTAGCTCACAGCAACCTCAAACTCCTGGGCTCAAGCAATCCTCCTGCCTCAGCCTCCCGAGTAGCTGGGACTACAGGCATGTGCCACCATGCCCGGCTAATTTTTTTTTCTATATATATTAGTTGGCAAATTAGTTTCTTTGTATTTATAGTAGGAGACGGGTCTCGCGTCTCACTCTTGCTCAGGCTGGTTTCGAACTCCTGACCTTGAGCAATCCTCCCACCTCGGCCTCCCAGAGTGCTAGGATTACAGGCGTGAGCCACTGCACCCGGTCTATCATGTTTTTTAAACCTACATCTTGCTTTATAATCCTGTCTTTTTCTCCTCAATAAACCTCACTTTCATGCTAGCCTCATTTTGGTGCATCTGGGCATTCTTTGGCCATGAGTGCACCAAGAACCTGTATTTCAGACTGAAACCTGACAAGTCGAAGGCCACTAAACTCTGATTTTAAAATGTACATATGCTTATATATATATAAATATATATACACACACACAAATTTTTTTTCCTGAGCAAGGGGCCCTTAACATATATATATATACACATATATATATATATATTTTTTTTTTTTTTTCCTGAGCAAGGGGCTGTAAAAAGAACAGCAGGAAATCAGAGATGATCCAGGTTATGAGTTCCTGAAAAGCTTATAAATCAGGGCTAATTTTATTTATAGGGAAAAAACAAGACGCCACTCATTTGAGCCAGGCTGACTTCTCCGTTAGACACAGTAGCACAGGCCTGGGGCCCACCATACTTTGTGTGCATGTGAGGGGTCAACAAAAATGTCCTAATTTTCTTTTAAGATCAGAAGAAAACCATGAACTTTTAGGTTAAAGAAAATATTTCGATATATAATATTATGTTTTTATATCAGCATGATCATAATTTTTTTTTTTTTGAGACAAGGTCTCACTTTGTTGCCCAGGCTAGAGTGAGTGCCGTGGCGTCGGCCTAGCTCACAGCAACCTCCAACTCCTGGGCTCAAGCGATCCTCCTGCCTCAGCCTCCTGAGTAGCTGGGACTACAGGCACGCGCGCCACATGCCGGCTAATTTTTTCTATATATATTAGTTGGCCAATTAATTTCTTTCTATTTATAGTAGAGACGGGTCTCGCTCTTGCTCAGGCTGGTTTCGAACTCCTGACCTGGAGCAATCCGCCCGCCTCGGCCTCCCAGAGTGCTGGGATTAAGGGCGTGAGCCACCACGCCCGGCCTTAATATTTAATTTTTAACATTATCTCACGGAGAAGGGCCCGCAAAGGCCGGAATCCCGGCCGGCCCAGGAGAAGGGTACCGCTTGCCGGCACGCTCTCCCCGCGGCAGCCCTGCAGCTCGGCGCTCCCCTGCCCTGCCCTGCCCACCCTCTGGCCGCTCCTCCAGTCCTCTGCCCTCGCTAGACCCTGCTTTGTCACGCGCCCCGCCGGGCTGGCCCTACCTTCCCAGTTCCTTCCTTCCCCGCTCAGACAAAAGGCGTATCAGTGCGGAACTCAAATAAAAAACAAACAACGCGCAAAGCCATCGAGGTCATGAAGAAAGCCACAGGGCTCCAAAGTGACAGTGGGGATGGTCTCAGTGAGGGTGGAGGGACACCGCCGGAGGCGGATGCGCCCAGACGCCCGAACCGCGCAGCCAGCCGCGCCCGGACCGGGCAGGACAAGGGGCGGCGCGCCCTCGGCTACCCGGGCGCGGACCGGGCCGGGGCCAGAGCCCATCGCCGGGCGCTCAGGCCTGGCCTGGCAGGAAGGAAGCCTCTGGAAGAGCTGAGTGGGGCGGCGGCCTCAGGCCCGCTTTGCCGGCGGAGTCCGAGCATGCCGGTGCTCAGCCCGTACTTCGCGGCGTGGTGGGTCGGCCCTCCGGACCCGCGGGGCCGGTGCGTGAGTTTGGAGGCCGACTGCGCCGTCTGAAGGCTGCCTGGAAGCTGCACGTGCCGCGGATGCGGAGGAGCCGGAATGGAAGCAGGGAGGTCGTCCCGAGCTTCCAGGTGACAGGTGTGAGGCCAAGGGAGGAATCCCAGAGGACCAGGGTCCGTGCACATGCTGTGTCTGCACGGAAGCAAACTTTGGAAGAGAAGCGTCGAGGCTACCGGGCTCCATTTTCCCGCGGTAGCGCGAACTTTGCAAGGGCGACGCGTCCTCGCCCCGCCGCGACCGCGCGGGGGCGCCCGAGAGCCGCCGCCGGGCCTTCCTGCCGCGCCGCCGGAAGTGCGCTCCCGCCGGCCTCCCCGTGCCGCGCGAAGATGGCGCTGGAAGCCGGGGACATGGAAGATGGGCAGCTTTCCGACTCGGATTCCGACATGACGGTCGCACCGAGCGACAGGCCGCTGCAGGTGCCGGTGAGTGTGAGGGGCGGGCGGGCTGCGCGGGGAGCCCGGCTGCGGGCCGCGCCGGGCGGCCGGGAGGGCGGGGTGGCGCGCTTCCTCCAGCCCGCGCGAGGAGAGCGCTGCGGGCGGCCGCGGCGCCGTCGCGGCGGGCTGGCGTCCCCTGGCCGGGCTCGTGGAGGAGAGGTGACGGCAGCGGCAGCCGGGGGCTGGCGAAGCCTGCTGTGCAGCTCGCTGCGGGGCGGACCTGCGAGCCTGCCTCCTGGAGGCGGGCGTTCGGCGGTCTCTCGGCGTCCCGCCTGGCGCCGCGCTGCGTGTCCCGAACTTACGGTGTCCCCACTCCGGCGCCGCTAGGTTTCAAGAAAGGGCGGGTTTTGCTAGAGGTGTAGAACCTGCAGGCATCGGCCCGAAACGGCCGCTGCTGCTGCTTTTCGCCCCGAGCAGATAGGGAAACCGAGGCCCAGGAATGAAGTTCATCACCCGTGCAGAGACCCGGTCCTCTGTATTTCCACCGAGTCTGGCTTTTTCATGCGGTACCGCGACACTAGGTTTTGTATTAGCTTCCCAGCTTTCTAAGTGGGAATTTGACTTGACTGCCGCCTAGGTAGCAATCTCTTTGAGAGGGCTTTGGTGCCGGGCTGCCTGCATTCGAGTCCTGGTGCGGCCACTGTGCAGGTCTGTTTAGCCTTACTGCTTTTTTGTCCCCATCTATAGGATTGGCACGTTATGCCGCCGATGGGGTTGTTGTAAGGATTCAATGGCGCATACCACGCACAATAATGTCTGACATATGTTAGCTGTGATTATTAGACGATAGGCTATCTTTTTTTTTTTTGAGACAGAGTCTCGCTTTGTTGCCCAGGCTAGAGTGAGTGCCGTGGCGTCAGCCTAGCTCACAGCAACCTCAAACTCCTGGGCTCAAGCAATCCTGCTGCCTCAGCCTCCCGAGTAGCTGGGACTACAGGGATGGGCCACCATCCCCGGCTAATTTTTTGTATATATATTTTTAGTTGGTCAATTAATTTCTTTCTGTCAATTTCTTTTTTAGTAGAGACGGGGTCTCGCTCAGGTTGGATTCGAACTCCTGACTTCGAGCGATCTGCCCGCCTTGGCCTCCCAGAGTGCTAGGATTACAGGCGTGAGCCACCACGCCCGGCCTAGGAAGGCTATCTTATTGACTTAAATCATCCCCCACCCGCATTTCTAGCACATAACAGGAACTCAGCAAATACTTGGCTTAGTGTTCAGTATAGAAAGCAAAGGTGACTTTTTTTGCGTATAAATATCTTAGGAAATTAGTACCAAGATAGTGTTTTTCAATCTCTTTCAGGTGGTTTTACATAAATTGACCCATGACTTGGTAAACTTAATGCCATGGACTCTGCAGTTTTAAAAGTATTATTTCAGAGATATCTACCTAAAGGAGTTTGCTATCTAATTTAAAAGGAATATGGCTACAGAACCATATAAAATTGTGTATGTGTCCAAATGCAAGATAGGTATCTTTGGAAAGAAAGAAAACAAATTCGGTTTTATTTTTTTGTTTTTTTGTGGTTTTTTTTTTTTGGTTTTGAGACAGAGTCTCACTCTGTTGCTCAGGCTAGAGAATGCCTTGGCATCAGCCTAGCTCACAGCAGCCTCAAACTCCTAGGCTCAAGCAATCCTTTTGCTTCTGCCTCTGCCTCCCTAGTAGCTGGGACCACCATGCCTGGCTATTTTCTGTGTATATTTTTAGTTGTCCAGCCAATTTATTTCCATTTTTAATAGAGACAGGGTCTTGCTCTTGCTCAGGCTGGTCTCAAACTCCTGAGCTTAAACAATCCAGCTGCCTCGGCCTCCCAGAGTCCTGGGATTACAGGTTTGAACAAGTGCACCTGGCCATAAATTCAGTTTTAACTGCTAGTAATAATTATTAGGTATGTCATTCTCATTTTGGCAATACTGAAAAGGTTAAAGTTTTTTCAAGGTGAGAATTAAGAACTTTGGTAATTTTTTAGAAGGAGATCTTAGAATTAAGTGTTGTATTAGCAATACAGATAAGAATGTGTGGCTTTAGGCCGGACCTGGTGGCTCACTCCTGTAATCCTAGCACTTGGAGGGGCCTGGTGGCTCACATCTGTAATCCTAGCACTTTGAGAGGCCGAGGCTGGAGAATAGCTTGAGCTCAGGAGTTCAAGACCAGCCTGCGCAAGAGCAAGACCCCATCTCTACTAGAAATAGAAAGAAATTAGCCAAACAACTAAAAATAGAAAAAATTAGCTTGGTGCAGTGGTGCATGCTTGTAGTCCCAGCTACTTAGGAGGCTGAGGGCAGGAGGATTGCTTGAGCTCAGGACTTGAGGTTGCTGTGAGCTAGGCTGACGCCATGGTACTTTAGCCCAGGCAACAGAGTGAGACTCTATCTCAAAAAAAAAAAAAAAAGAATTTGTGGCTTTAAAATTGACAAATTCCATGTGGAACTTGAAAAAATTAAGGACTGGATTGGTTTCAGACATGTCTTTGAAGATCAGTTCTGTTTCAGAATGGTCCAGTTGCATTTCTAAATAATTTTTTTTTTTTTTTTTTTGAGACAGAGTCTCACTTTTGTTGCCCAGGCTAGAGTGAGTGCCGTGGCGTCAGCCTAGCTCACAGCAACCTCAAACTCCTGGGCTCAAGCGATCCTCCTGCCTCAGCCTCCCAAGTAGCTGGGACTACAGGCATGTGCCACCATGCCCGGCTAGTTTTTTGTATATATATTTTTAGTTGGTCAATTAATTTCTTTCTATTTTTAGTAGAGACGGGGTCTCGCTCAGGATAGTTTCGAACTCCCAACCTCGAGCAATCCGCCCGCCTTGGCCTCCCAGAGTGCTAGGATTACAGGCATGAGCCACCGCGCCCGGCCTTTTTCTAAATAATTTTTTTAAATAGCACATGATAGGTGTAGTTAATGCGCTTTGTGGAATTGATTATATTTGTTTTACTTGCAGAAAGTACTGAGTGGGGATAGTGCTGTGAGGACCTTTCAGAGTACCGCAACAGCATGTGCACCAGCGTCCCATTACAGGACTGTCAAAAGTGTGGATTCAAGTGAAGAGAGTTTTTCTGATTCAGACGATGATAGCTCTCTTTGGAAACGCAAGCGACAGAAATGTTTCAACCCTCCTCCTAAACCAGAGCCTTTTCAGTTTAACCAGAGCAGTGAGAAACCGCCTGTTGCTGGAGGAAAGAAGGTTAACAACATATGGGGTGCTGTGCTGCAGGAACAGAATCAGGATGCAGTGGCCACTGAACTTGGTATCTTGGGAATGGAGGGCACTATTGACAAAAGCAGACAATCCGAGACCTACAATTATTTGCTTGCTAAGAAACTTAAGAGGGAATCTGAAGAGCATACAAAAGAATTAGACAAGGAACTAGATGCATATATGCATGGTGGTAAAAAAATAGGATCAAAGGAAGAGGAAAATGGGCAAGGTCATCTCAAAAGAAAACGACCTGTCAAAGACAGACTGGGATCCAGAGTAGAAATGAACTATAAAGGCCGATATGAGATCACAGAGGACGATTCTCAAGAGAAAGTAGCTGATGAAATTTCTTTCAGGTGAGCATTTAAATTTGACCACAAATGAGAATTTGACCAAATAACATCTATTTTTTTTTTCACAGTATTTATTAATGGTTTATTTATCAAGAGAAACTATTCATCAGCCCACATATTCATAGCTCAGGAACACAGGTCAAGAAATTCTTTTATGTTCCAAAATCACTTTGCACTCTAAAAGATGCCAGCCTTCCTCATCTCCTCAAAATCTTTCATAGAACCATAATTTCTGTAGAAATCTGCATATGCCTTCTTCCTTGGTTCAGCCACACCCAACTTATACAAGGTTGCAACTCCCAGGGATACTATGAATGCTCCAACAATATGAATCCGCAGACGCCTGGCCAGGAGGCCACGCATCTGAGGTTTCGCCAAAGTGCCGGAAGCCATGGTAGTTACTGTCTTTGACCGGTATGCCTACCTCAACATGCCCTTCCTGGCCGATGGAGAAACGAACTCCAAATAACATCTATTTACAGAAAATAAAATAGACTGCAAATACATCAATGATGATGTTCCTTCTTGAGTTTTTTTTTTTTTTTTTTAACTTAATGGAACTAACTCAGGGCTTATTTGATTATGTGAATACACTTGTGTTTTCTTAGATTTGGACAGGACTGAGAGGATAATTTTGAAGACTTTTATGAACTTTTAAGCAACTCTTTGCATTTAGTACCCTAGAGCTCTTAAGATAAACATATCTTTTTATTTATTTATTTATTTTTAGAGATAGGATCTTGCTCTTTTGCTCAAACTGGAGTGCTGTGGCATGATCACAGCTCACTGCAACCTCAAACTTCAGGGTTCAAGTTATCCTTCGTCCTCAGCTTCCTGAGTAGCTGGAAATGCCACAATGCCTAGCTAATTTTTAAATTTTTGTGTGGGGGTTGGGGGTTCTCTCCGTGTTGCCCAGGCTGGTCTCCAACTCTTGACCTCAAGCCATTCTCCTGCCTTGCTCCCAATGTGCTGGGATTACAGGTGTGAACCTGTATGCCTGGCATGCCTGTGCCCAGCCAGAACATCTTTTTAAATCATGTATTTTTTAGTGTTTTCAAGCATTAGTGACTTTTTTTAACATAACTTTGAGGTATATTTCATATATGATAATATTCACCCCATTTCTAGTATGGTTGTTTTAGTAAATTTGTCATGTTTTATAACCATCACTTTTAAAACATTTCCAACACCCAGTAAGGTCCCTCATGTCCATATGCCAATTTGTGGTTAATCCCTGTTCTCATCCCAGACAACTGCTAATCAACTTTCTGTCTGTATAAATTTGCCTTCTCTGGATGTTTCATATAAATACCATTATAGAGTAAGTGAACTTGTTTCTAGCTTCTCTCGCTTAATGTAATGTTTTTCAGATTGATCTATGTTATAGCAGGAATCAATACTTAATTCCTTTTTATTGTGTGCATGTATATATTGAATGGATGTCCATATTGAATGGATATTCCACTTTTTGGTGTTTATTTATTTATTTTTTTTGAGGACAGGGGGTCTCGCTTTTTGCCCAGGGGCTATACTTGAGTGCCCGTCTCACAGGCCTGGCACACAGCAACCTCAAACTCCTGGGCTCAAACAATTCTGCTGGCCTCAGCCTCCCCAGGTGGCTGGCGACTACAGCATGTGCCACCATTCCCGCTTAATTTTCTTGTTCTATATATATAGTTGGCCAATTAATTTTCTATTTTAGTAGAGACAGGTTCCGATCTCACTCTTGTCAGGGCTGGGTTTTCGCGGACTCCTGACCTCCAGAGATCCGGCCGCCTTGGCCTCCCAGAGTACTAGGATTACAGGCGTGAGCCACCACGCCCGGCCTTTGGTTGTTTTGAAAGCTTCGTAAGAAGCTTCACATCTAAATATTTAAACATACATGTTCATTTCTTTTGGTAAACGACCTAGGAGTAGAATTGCTTGGTGTATGTGGTCAATTTACAGTTCATGGTTTTTTTGTGTTGTATGTTTTATGTTTGTTTGTTTATTTGATTGTTTTTTGAGGCAGAGTTTTGCTCTGTTGCCCAGGCTGGAGTCTAGTGGCATGGTTATAGCTCACCACAGTCTCGAACTCCTAGGCTTAAGTGATATTCCTGTGTCAGCCTCCCAAGTAGCTAGGACTACAGGCATGTGCCACTGTGCTTAGCTAATTTTTTTTTTTTTTTTAGAAATGGGGTCTGGCTCTGTTGCCTAGGCTGGTTTTGAACCCCTAGCCTCAAGTGATCCACTTGCTTTGGCCTCCCAAAGTGCTGGGATTACAGGCATGAGCCACTGGGCTGAGCCATATATAATTCATTTGTTTTTAACAAGTTCAGATTTTAATGAACATTTTTATTAGCTCTAAGTCACTAATCAACAGTGTCATGAATTTGAAAACAAATATGGTTCAAGAGTAATAGGGTAGGAAAACTAGTATTTACTTTCCAGGTAAGCCTATCTCAATACCAGTACTAGATTTTTTAAATACTGGGGAAGTTTAGAATTTGAATGCTGGAGAGGAGCTTAGAAATTTTGTAAACGAAAACCTTTATTTTACAGATAAGGAAACCAAGGCTCAGTAGTTATATATGGCTTGCCCAAGGTCACATGTTCAATTAATATCAAACTTGAAGCTGAACCCTGGTCCCTTTATTCCTAGTCTAGTACTCCATCCACAATAATGCACTGCTGCCTCTTGAGAAGAAACAAGGATGCCAGGTCTGATTAGGGAATTGGTAAGGCTCTGCACTGTCAATTCTCCTTCACCTCTCAAGAGTGTGGGCTCTGACGTTAAAGAAAGAGTTGCTTATGCTACCTATGTTTTTAATCTCTCAGTAATAAAGTGAAAATAATCGTACCCATCTCATAATGTTAGAGAATTAATTGACATAATGCATACTTAGTTCTTAGGCTTGTGCTAACTATAACCATAATAAGCCATCAGTAAATATTAGCTATTTGTATTTTTTGTTTTGAGGCAAAGAGTCTATGAGGGAAGGATTTGGTCCATTTTAAATCTCCCAGACATCTCTGGAGTTGGGAAAACTAACTTTTAGGCATAATAATTAAAAGCATAGTATATGTCTGTTATTTGTTTTGACAATAGACTGGTTTTATCTTCTTTTGCATTTAGGCTTGCATTCACTTTGCTGAATGTGCACATTTATTTTGAAATCTGCCATAATACAGTAAGGCAGATAAAGAAGGAAAGTATGAGATTTGAGATGGAACCTTGAGGTTCCCATCTCCTTGTGTGGCCAAGGGTTAGGGATGTTTACTTGTCAGTGATTCTAAGGTTAAATATCGAAGATTTAGAAAAGCAAATGTTTATTAGAATCAGATTTTGATTCTAGTTGAGGACTAAATTGAAGACTAAGTTAGATTTCTTCAACTTTGTACAACAAATAGATTAATTTTACTTTATTTGTTCCTAATCAGGTTACAGGAACCAAAGAAAGATCTGATAGCCCGAGTAGTGAGGATTATTGGGAACAAAAAGGCAATCGAACTTCTGATGGAAACTGCTGAAGTTGAACAAAATGGTGGTCTCTTTATAATGGTAAGACTGCGCCACTGTTTTTGCCTTGCTTATCATATGTTTTTGTTTTCTTTTTACACAACTTGCCTCTGTTGGATCTCTGATCATACATTATTACAGTTACAGTGTATTTCAGATTTTAAAAAACTACATCAACAATGAAGACTGAATAAATCCAGTACAGTTGTTTTTACAACTAATACTTTCCTACAAAAAACATAGATAAATTGTAGCTTGTTGGTTTGCAGTCAACAACACATCTCTTACATAATTCATTAAAGGTAGGAGCTGAAATTTTAAGACAACAGTCTAAGGAAGCCTGGAAGCTCAGATTATTCCTTTTTTTTTTTTTTTTGAGACAGAGTCTCACTCTATTGTCTGGGCTAGAGTGCCATGGCATCAGCCTAGCTCATGGCAACCTCAAACTCCTGGGCTCAAGCAGTCCTACTGCTTCAGCTTCCCGAGTTGCTGCGACTACAGGCATGCACCACCATGCCCAGCTAATTTTTTTTTTTTTTTGAGACAAGAGTCTTGCTCTGTTGCCCTGGCTAGAGTGAGTGCTGTGGCATCAGCCTAGTTCACAGCAACCTCAAGCTCCTGGGCTCAAGCAATCCTTCTGCCTCAGCCTCCCGAATAGCTGGGACTACAGGAATGTGCCACCATGCCCAGCTAATTTTTTCTATATATATTAATTGGCCAATTAATTTCTTTCCATTTATAATAGAGACGGGGTCTTGATCTTGCTCAGGCTGGTTTCAAACTCCTGACCTCGAGCAATCCGCCTGCCTCGGCCTCCCAGAGTGCTAGGATTACAGGCGCGAGCCACCTCGCCTGGCCTAATTTTTATATATATATATTTTTAGTTGTCCAGCTAATCTCTTTCTGTTTTTTCAGTAGAGACAGGGTCTCGCTCTTGCTCAGGCTGGTCTCCAACTCCTGAGCTCCAGCGATCCTCCGGCTGGCCTCCCAGAGTGCTAGGATTACAGGCATGAGCCACCACGCCCAGCCTGGAAGCTTAGATTTTTAGGATATGGAGTTTTGGTGCTTTTTTTTTTTAATTGGGCAATGAACATTTTATACCACAGAATGAGTGTTTCCTGTATGCCTTCTTTGAGTTTTAGGTGTGTAACTTATTAACTGAAATTTAGCTAAATTATTTGACTCCATACAGTCTCCTTGGCTGTAAAATGAGGATTAATCCTGTATCATAAGGATTAGAGAAGATGATACATATAAAGTACTTATCACAGTTCTTAGCCCTTAGCAATGGTAAACACAAGTGTTATTTTTGGTGCATTTAATTCATGCATTCATGAAAAAGAGGGCAAAAAAAAATTCTTGTGTATGAAGCACAGATATGTATACGGTATTTCTAGGTGAATTAAAATTAATGGTAGAGGTGAAAAGGGGGGAAAATCTAAAAAGCATCCTGGGGTGGAGGAGTGATAATGGACAAAAAAGTCAGGAAACACTGTTTACTGCTTGAGAATGACAGAAAGAAAACTTTGGGTAGGCCAGGGGTAGGGAAACTTTTCATGTTGGAAGGCCACATTGATTTAGCTGTAATCAAATAAGGCCTCATTCAAGAAATTTCAATTAGATACACTTAAAAATGTACATTATTTTGTAAAAATCTAACTACTATGTCCTTAATGATTTCAAAAATGAAAATGAGTTGTTAATTTTAAAGTTAACTAACCTTTTAATGACTTTGTTATGTCTGCTTTTTGTTGGAATGCATTTGAATATTTGATTGCAGCATGGAGGTCTGCAGTTTAATTTATCTTCTAGATGATTATTAGTCATTTGTGACCTTAAGGACATCTTGATTTGTGTTAGGTAAGAGAATGAAGTTTCACAGCAATGAGTGATTGAAAAGCAAGCAAGCATTTTTGGGGCATGTTGCCGAAGGTGTGGGTATTCTACTATGTTTTTTCATGTTTCAATTAAATCTTTCTTAGCATCAAACAATGACTTTAAAAAGTCATCTGCCGAGAGCTCAGTTCCATCTGTAGTTCATTAGGTGCCTCAGTGGTACCAACTAGGTGAAGCTGAAATGCTAATTTGAGTGTGATGTCATGATTCTCAAAGTCAGTGAAACTTTCATTGTATTCTCCAATTAATAGGTCTGTAACAGCTGCGTATTCTTCAGATGGTTCACGTGTATCCTGCTTATCAGTGACTTTTGGTAACTGGGGAATGTTCATCTGAAATTTTCTTTTGAATAAGATGTGTTTTGAAAAAAGATAGCTTTTTTGGAAATGCTTGGATTTTTTTGCCACATATCATATAAACTTAGTTTTACCTTGCAAAGAAATATTCGAGTTGTTTTGATCTTACATGATATCACACATAAATGCTGCATTCCTATAGAAATCTTCTTACAGTAATTCCCATTGCTGATTCTGTTCTTCATAAAATTTAACTATGTATTCTCACAGAGATAAAATTTTGGTTAACACCTATCCCTGCTTTAGCCAGCATACTTTAGAATGATAAGGTAAATTCACATTGAATACCTCATTGTTCAACTTCACCATGTTATGATGCTGTGTTGTATTTTCATGAATATAGTTAAAAATACTTATAACTTACTGCAAAATGTCACTTAAAGTAGTAGCTTTAGCACAGATATTTTGCTAATGCAATATATAATGAAAATAAATGAGAACATCTGGATCTTTTAATACATTTTTTATCTATGTAATAAATCCTTCATGTTTTCCCGTCATAGAAGGTCCACCACCTTTACATATACTCACTAAATTTACTGAATTTTGTCCAATTTCCTGACATTTATCTTGAAAGATGTTGAAGATATCTATTTCCTGCATTCTGTACGTAAAAGTGCCTAAAGCGAGTAACTTGTAGCAAAAAATATATCCTGTGTTCGACCCGAATGAAATACAAAACCTGTACTGAGTCAGTAGTATCAGTTGATTCATCCAAAATGATTGAATAATATATATATTTTTTCCTTTTAAAGTATTGCATGAAGTTCTGTTAAGTTGAAGGCTAATTTGTGCTGCCAGTCAGTTATGGTTCTCCTTGAAAGAGGCAGTTGTTTATACTTTGAAACATTGAGATCTAAGCATCCTACAACTTCGACAATGCATTTTTTCACAATTTCTAGGTCACCAAATTGGCTTCCCTTTTTTCCTCAAGTATGTAAGCTACTTTGTAAGTTGCTTCAGTGACACTATTTCCAGGTTTTATTGCTGCTTCTGAGAACTGTCTTTGCTTTTGCTTTTCATCTTTTAATTTTTGCAATATAACCTTTCATGCCTCTCTCCAATTTAAAGTATTTGTGGTCAATGCTGATGAGCATTGAATTTCTTTAATGTTGATATTATAGTATCACAAAGCAAGCAGTCATCTTACTTTTAGCAGAAAGAAGGTAATGCAATTCCTGATCCTCCTTTAAAAATCTGTTTTCTTCCTTCAGCCTTCTCTTGGTCTTCTTTGACATTATGGACCTTTAAGCAGACAGAATTAAAAAATACTGTCGAGTGTGCAACTATTCACCAATTCTACTTCAGATAGAAACACGGTATGCACCGTTGTCAAAAGCTGATAACAGATTGGCATACATAATTGTGCCGGTCAATCTGGGAGGATTGTTTTATTGAAACTTATCTTATTCTTTGGTATTTTAAATACATTCATTTTAAAAATAAAAATATAAAAGATGAACAAAAATGTATTAGTAAAAATAAAAGGATTTGTTCTGTAAAATTTGGATTCAGTCAAAAGGCTGCACTTAAGGACCTAGAAGGCCACATGTGGACTGAAGGGCTCAGGTTCCCCACCCCTTACAGCCGTGTCACAGGCAGTGACAGTTATCTTACAGATTGGTTTTGTACATCTCACTTAATTCAGCTTTCACTACAGGGTAAGAATGAATGAGTTCCTCCTTTTTTGTTATTCACAAGTCCATAGTAGTAACATCACAAGAGAGTAGATGGATACGCTTTGGAAATGGACAGAAAAGAAACCAGTTAGAATTGATAGCATTGGCTGAGGAAATGACCCCTGAATGTAAATTACAAAAGTCAAAAAACAGAAGTTAACAACAAAACAAATAATAATAATCATGAATGCACTAGTGTCAGTGTTAAAGTACTTTGATTTTCCTTTAGTCGAACACAAAGTTACAGGTTTCATCAATATTTAATACTATAGCGTTAACAACAAAACTTTGTATTCCATTGAGTGAATGCGAATCTACTGAATGTTGGGAAGCTGCAAGTCCAAATTCACTTTCTTCTGATACATTCTTTCCTGGAACAATTACTGAGTGCCTGCTATGTGCCAGGCATTGTTCTAAAACAGGGAGCTGCCGGGCGCGGTGGCTCACGCCTGTAATCCTACCTCTCTGGGAGGCCGAGGTGGGCGGATTGCTCGAGGTCAGGAGTTCGAAACCAGCCTGAGCAAGAGCGAGACCCCGTCTCTACTATAAATAGAAAGAAATTAATTGGCCAACTAATATATATACAAAAAATTAGCCGGGCATGGTGGCACATGCCTGTAGTCCCAGCTACTTGGGAGGCTGAGGCAGGAGGATTGCTTGAGCCAGGAGTTTGAGGTTGCTGTGAGCTAGGCTGACGCCACGGCACTCATTCTAGCCTGGGCTTAACAAAGCGAGACTCTGTCTCAAAAAAAATAAAATAAAATAAAAAAAAATAAAAAAAGATAAAATAAAACAGGGAGCTTATGCTGTAGTTGAGGGTGAGGGGAGAGCAGATTAAAAAAATAAATGTACTAACTTCAAGTATGTTAGAAAATGGTCTATCCTATGGGAAAAGAAATAGATCAAATGGAGGTGGGGAGGGTGGACCTTATTAAGAAGGCACCATTTAAACAAAGACTTGAAGAAGGTGAAGCAGTGAGTACTGCAGGGAGAACAGACCAGACAGAAGTAACAGCCACTGTAAAAGTGAGGGGGGCCTGGCAGGGCCAAAATTAAGGCAAAGTAAGCAATTTACTTGCCTTGGTTATAAAATTTGACAGGGGTCCTAAAAAAACTCAGTCAAGATAAATAATATTTTAATAGGCCAGGTGTGGTGGCTCACTCCTGTAATTCTAGCATTCTGGGAGGCCAAGGTGGGCTGATCGCTCAAGGTCAAGAGTTCGAAACCAGCCTGAGCAAGAATGAGACCCTGTCTCTATTAAAAATAGAAAGAAATTAATTGGACAACTAAAATATATAGAAAAAATTAGCTGGGCATGGTGGCACATGCCTGAGTCCCAGCTACTTGGGAGGCTGAGGCAGAAGAATTGCTTGAGCCCACGAGTTGGAGGTTGCTGTGAGCTAGGCTGACGCCATGGCACTCTAGCCTGGGCAACAAAGCGAGACTCTGTCTCAAGAAAAAAAAAAAGATAAATAATATTTTAATGCAAGAGTTTCAAAAACCAAAGTTAATGCAAAAATTCATAATGGACTAAATTCTAAACAAAAACAGGTTCTGACCCCTGACCCTGTACTTGGAAGACTGTTTTCTCTCTTCACCCCCAGTCTCTGCTTAGTGCCAGTGTGAACACAGGGCCAGTGTGACAGGAGCAGGGTGCTTGGAAGAGTGAGTAGCGTATAAGGTCAGAGGGAGAATATAGGGCCAGATCCAGTAGGGACTTGTTTTCCATCTTAAAGAATTTTTCCTTCACCCTAGCTCAGGTCAAACAAGGCAACACTCTGCTTTGTTTCAGCTCTCTTATTATAAACAAGTGTCCTCAAGATCTGTCTAGTGTGCCATGTTTTTCACATTTTGTGCATTTTTTTGTTGTTTGTTGTTTGTGTGTGTGTGTGTGTGTGTGGTGACTTTGCTGTTTAAAATGGTCCTCCAGTGGTAGTGCTGAAGTGCCACCTACTGTTCCTAAGTGCAAGAAGACTGGCATGCCCTTATGGAAGAATATGTGTCTTAGATAAGCTTCATATAGGCATGAGTTGCAGTGCTGTTGGCCATGAGTCATAAATTCAATGTTCTGTGAATCAACAATTTGTTTTATTTTTATTTTTTGAGACGGAGTCTTGCTCTGTTTCCTGGGCTAGAGTGCTGTGACGTCAGCTTAGCTCACAGCAACCTCAAACTCCTGGGCTCAATCGATCCTCCTGCCTCAGCCTCCCGAGAGTTGGGACTACAGGCATGTGCCACCATGCCCGGCTAATTTTTTCTATATATTTTTAGTTGTCCAGTTAATTTCGTTCTATTTTTAGTAGAGACGGGGGTCTCACTCTTGCTCAGGCTGGTTTCAAACTCCTGACCTTGAGCGATCCACCCGCCTCGGCCTCCCAGAGAGCTAGGATTACAGGTGTGAGCCACCGCGCCCGGCCGACAGTTTGTTTTAAATAAGGTGTCTTTAAAGAGAAACACACGTACAAGGTTATATATTGATTCATTGACAAAAATGTCATGATCAGAGGCTTGCAGGAACCTAACCCTGTATTTCCCCTGGAGCAGGGTTTCAGTATTTCCTTGATTCAGTGTTTGTGACGACTTTGTAGAACATAACTACCATGACTGGTGAGAAGCCACTATATATGTATATATATGTATTCTGTGATTTATTTATTTATTTATTTATTTATTTTTTGAGACAGAGTCTCACTTTGTTGCCCAGGCTAGAGTGAGTGCCATGGCGTCAGCCTAGCTCACAGCAACCTCCAACTCCTGACTCAAGCAATCCTCCTGCCTCAGCCTCCCAAGTAGCTGGGACTACAGGCATGCGCCACCATGCCCGGCTAATTTTTTCTATATATATTAATTGGCCAATTAATTTCTTTCCATTTATAATAGAGACGGGGTCTCGCTCTTGCTCAGGCTGGTTTTGAACTCCTGACCTCGAGCAATCCGCCCGCCTCGGCCTCCCAGAGAGCTAGGATTACAGGCGTGAGCCACCGCGCCCGGCCTCTGTGATTTATTATATGTATGTAAATCTTAGATCCTTTTGGAATATATCATGGTACAAGACGTGAGGTGTGAATTTTATCTTCTCTTCTTTGGGGTAGTATCTGTGTCATGGACTAAATTCTCATGTGTATTTGGCTTTTTTTCTGGTTTTTTTTATTCTGTTCCGTTGATTTCTAGTTTTATTTCAGTATCATACTGTTTTAATTATTGAGGCTTTATGGTGTGTTTTAATATCCAAAAGAATATTCACTGATTTGGCCAGATGGCAGATAAAAGCAGAAAATCCAGTCATTTGTCAGGTCCCTTGAGCTGAGTAGCCTGTTTCTCTTTATTACCATGTAGATTTTATAAATCACAGAATTTAAGAGTTGAAAAACATTAAAGATGACCTTTGGTCTTCATTTGACAGATGACAAAACTGAAACTCATGATTTTGGTGACTTCCTCATGTTACCCATTTCACAAGAGTTAGAGTCAAGATTGGACTTCACATCTGCTCTTTGTTCTGTCTCCTTAGGAGTGCTTCTGTACCTTAGCTATCATGGGAAGAGTATATGCAGTTTAACGTTTTTGTTTCTTTTTATAGAATGGTAGTCGAAGAAGAACACCAGGTGGAGTTTTTCTGAATCTCCTGAAAAATACTCCTAGTATCAGTGAGGAACAAATTAAGGTACTGATAATGGCTTTTAATATCTATCATTATTTGACTTCCACTCAGACTCTAGCCTCATTTTCTAAGAATCTCTTCTCTAACTTAAATGGACCGATTTTGTCATTTTTCTCATTTTAAGCAAAACTTGTGCCTTTTATAATGCCTTGCCTCCTCTTTTTCTTCCCTTATAGAGCCAAGATCAAGATTTCTTTTATTTTTTATGGTAGTTTTTTCCTGGTCTTCTAGCACATAGTTATTTTTACTATCCTTCTAAAACTTATTATTAATGAAAATTTTCAGAACAGATAGAGGAATAATAATTGAATATCCCCTGCCTAGCTAGGTTCAGTAGTCATTAATAAGTATTTTGACATTATTACTTGACCTATATAATTTTTTTCCTGTTCCATTTGGAAATAAATAGCAAATATGACACTCAGTTCTGATTATTTCAACAAACATCTGCCAGTAATGACAATATCCTACATAATCACACAAGGCCCATTATCACTCCTAAGAGAAATAAAAACAATTTCATAGTATCGTCCAATATCTAGAGCTTGTTCCTGTTTGCTGAATTGTCCCAAGAATATGTTTTATACCTCTATTGCCCTCCCACCAAGATCCAGTCTAGGTTTCCACATTATATTTGTTATATCTCTTTTGATTCTTTTTAACCTCACACTTTCCTTCATGATTTAAACCTTTTGAAGAGTTCAAGATAGTTATCTTATAGAATTTTAGATTATGTTATTATCATTCCGGTGATTGTCTCCTCACAGCTTTGTTTCATTCCTCTATCTACGATATTTCTTATAAACAGGAAGGTGTAGGCACTTTAGTTTTCTTTTTTTTTTTTTTTTTGAGACAGAGTCTTACTTTGTTGCCCAGGCTAGAGTGAGTGCCGTGGCATCAGCCTAGCTCAACAGCAACCTCAATCTCTCCTGGGCTCAAGCGATCCTCCTGCCCAGCCTCCTGAGTAGCTGGACTACAGGCATTGGGTACCGTGCCTGGCTAATTTTTTGTATATATATATTTTAGTTGGCAATTATTTCTTATTTTTAGTAGAGACAGGGTCTCGTTCAGGCTGGTTTTGAACTCCTGACCTCCAGCAATCACCCACCTCCGGCATCCCAGAATGCTAGGTTTACAGGCGTGAGCTACTGTGCCCGGCCCACTTTAGTTTTCTTAATCGTTTTTGTGTTGTTGTAATTCTTTAGATTCTTCTACATAGGGGTTTTTTTTTTTTTTTTTTTTTTTGAGACAGAGTCTCACTTTTGTTGCCCAGCCTAAGAGTGAGGCCCTGCGGTCACCGTAGCCACACACCTCAAACTCCTGGCTCAAACGATCCTCCTGCCTCAGCTCCAATGTGACTGGATCGGGATGTGCCACCATGCCCGGCTAGTTTTTGTATATATATTAGTATGGTCATTATTTTCTATTTCGTAGCACGACGGGGTTGCTCAGCGATGGTTTCGATCCAACCGGAGCAATCCGCCCGCTCCGCTCGCCACAGGTGCAGATTACAGGCGTGAGCCCGCGCCCGCTACATAGTGGTTTTGTACATTTAAATTGGTATTTTAATCTGTTAATGATGGAACATGATTCTCATTTAAGCATTTATAACCAAGATTGAGAACCAGCCTCTTACATAGGAAGGAGGTGGAGCACATCCAACATAGCTGCTGTATATGAGCAGCTGTTTTCTTTATTATAACAGTGGGTTAATAAACTTAACAGGAAGGTATATTTTAGCCATGCTGACTGTCATGCTAATGGTGACACTAAATAAGCCATTTATCTTGAGCTGATGCTCCTTCTGAACATATTTTACATCTGAGGGCCGGCGGCCGCCGGGTGGCTCACGCCTGTAACCTGGACTCTGGAGGCTGAGCCGCGGCGGCATTGCTCCAGGTCAGGAGTTGAAAACCAGCCTCAGCAGAAGCGGATGACCGCCGTCTCTTACTATAAAAATAGAAAAAATTAATTGGCCAACTAATATATATAATATATATATTATATAAAATAGCCGGCATGGTACGCATCCTGTAGTCCAGCTACTTGGGGAGGCTGAGGCAGAAGGATCGCTAGCCCGGATGATGTGGCTGTGACTAGGCTGATACCACGGCACTCACCTAGCTGGCAAGAAGGAAAAGGGGGGGACTCTGTCTTCAAAAAAAAACAAAACAAAACCATGTTTTACATCTGTATCTGCCCAGTGTTTTTTCTTTCCTTAAATTTTCTGGCTGTTCACTTCCAGTCATTTTTTAAATCTGTTACATTGAGATTCCCATAAGAAATGTTAACTATTATTACACATCTGAAAATCTGTGCGGCTGCCTTTTCCCTCTCATTGGGACTTTTTGATAATGTGATTTGTAACATGTAAGTTTCCTTAGGAACACCAACTATTGAGTGGTGAAACAGAGATATCTCCATACTTCATTTCTCGCCCATCCCCATATACATCGCTTGACAAAAATATGTAACTTAAAAGATATTCTTTTTGTCTTTGTTTTGGATAGGCAAAATGTAACTTTTTAACGACTATAGCAATATGATAAAAGAATTGGTATAAAATCAAATCTGTGGTTTTAATCTTTTGCTATTTAGTGGTTATATAACCATGATCGTTTAATCTCCCTCAGTAACAATTTTCTTATCTATGAAGGGGGGAGGCCCTAAACAATGTCCCTGTATTTAATAGCTTATAAAAGAAAAGAGGATATAAGAAAAGCTGTTCTAACAGTAACTAGACCTGGGCAACAGATGGTTCCAGAGTTCCTGGAGAAGAATACTTAACGTTTATGGACTGTAATGGCCCTGGCACTGACCAGAACATTAACTAGTATAACTTAATTTTCACTTCAGTGTTTCAAGGGGGTGTTACCCTGTTATGCAAATGAAGAATGATCAATTATATGCCTGAGATCACATAGAACATTCCGACTCCAAGACTATGTTAGAGTTGTTGTCACTGTATCACATGTCTTTGTAATTTAGTGATTCTAATTTATTGTGAAGAACGGCATTTTACTGTTAATAGGGGGAATCTATTGTATTCTGGAATATTGTAGATTTGATTTATTCTTTTTTTTTTTTTTTTTTTTTGAGACAGAGTCTCACTTTGCCTGCCCAGGCTAGAGTGATGCCAGGCGTCAGCCTGCTCACAGCAACCTCAAACTCCTGGGCCCAGGACCTTCTGGCCTCAGCCTCGCGAGAGCTGGGACTACAGGCATGTGCCACCATGCCTGGCTAATTTTTTGTATAATATTATGGCCAACTTAATTTCTATTCGTATAGTAGAGGACGGGGTCCCGCTCTTGCTCAGTGTGTCTCGAACTCCTGGAAACTCAACGATCGCACGCCTCGGCACTCACAGCAGAGAGGCTGGATTAAGGCGTGAGCCGCCCTACGCGGCTCTTTGTTTTTTTTTGTTTTTCGAGACAGAGGTCTCGCTGTGTGCCCAGGCTAGAGTCGAGTGCCGTGCGCGTCCAGCCTAGCCACAGCCAACCTCAAAACTCTGGGCTCCAAGTGGAGTCCTACTGGCCTCAGCCTCGATAGCCTTGGGACTACAGACAGTGCCACCATGCCTGGCAATTTTTTTTTTTTAATATATAATCAGCTTGGCCAATTAATTTCTTTCTATTATATAGGAAGACGGGGTCTCGCTCTTGCTCAGGCTGGCTTTTGAACTCCTGATCTCGAGCATCCATCCCTCGGGTCTAAGACTGCCACCCGCCCACCACACTCTGTCCTGGCCTAGATACCAGCGTGTGAGCCTAACCCGACAGCAACCCTCCAAACCCTGGCAAGTGATCCAGCTACCTCAGCTTCCTAAGTAGCTGGGACTACAGGCATATGCCACCCTGCCCAGCTAATTTTTTCTATTTTAGTTGCCTAGCTTCTTTCTATTTTTAGTAGAGATGGTTCTCCCTCTTGCTGAGGCTGGTGTCAAACTCCTGCCCTCAAGTGATCCTCCCGCCTCCCTGAGTACTAGGATTACAGGCGTGAGCCACCATGACCGGCCCTGTTAGTAGGTTTTTATGTTTAACTACCAGAAACATTGCCTTATATTAAAAAAAAGCAACACTTAGAGTATCTAATAATAATAGGGAAATGTTGACCTATAAGGCCATTCTTCAGAGGATTATCCTTTAACCTCTATTTTTATGAAGCAGTTTTAAGAAAATGAGAAAACACAGTAATACTTAATTTTTAAAAAAGGCTAAGTATAAACTTATAAATTAAAAAGAGACATGGGATAATAGACTAGAAAACAAACACCAGAATGTTACCAATGATTTGGTCTGTTATGAGGGATTATAAATGCTTTGGGGTTTTTTTTAAGGTTTTTCTGAATTTTCTACATGAACATGGATTGATTACCTGTGTTATTATAGGGAAAAACTTGAAGGCAAATAAAATTTTATTGCAGATCATTTCATATGCCAATCAAATGATGTCATAATTATTATTTTAATCACCATATTTCTAACAATCACCATCTGTAGAACTTAGAAGCCAGAACTGGACTGAGTAAGTTTGTTTTCCTATTTTTTGTTATTTTGTTTGGGTATATGACGTCATAATTGCTTAAGTTTTGTTTTAGCAATTACAAAGTTTGTGAAGAAAAAATAGTTAAAAGTTTATTTGCTGGCCGGGTGTGGTGGCTCACGCCTGTAATCCTAGCACTCTGGGAGGCAGAAGCGGGCGATTGTTCAAGGTCAGGAGGAGTTCGAAACCAGCCTGAGCAAGAGCGAGACCCCGTCTCTACTAAAAATAGAAAGAATTTAGTTGGCCAACTAAAAATATATAGAAAAAAATTAGCCGGGGGTGGTTGTGCATGCCTGTAGTCCCAGCTACTCAGGAGGCTGAGGCAGAAGGATCACTTTAGTCCAGAAGTTTGAGGTTGCTTTGAGCTAGGCTGCCATCGCAGCACTCTAGCCTGGGCAACAGAGTGAGACTGTCTCAAAAAAAAAAGTTTATTTGCTATATTAACAAAACTGTAACAGTGTCCCTCTGTTAAAGAGTACACAACCAGGTTCTTTCTTTTAGAGTTAATTATATATACATAGGGATGGGAGAGGAAAATCATCTCCCTGAAATTGTCTGTATTTGTTGTAACGACATTAACAACATGTTGCAACATTTTGGAGGCAGCATTGCCCATTTGGTTCTATTCATAACCCATGGAAAGAAGTCCCTTTTTTTTCTTTTGAGACAGAGTCTTACTCTGTTGCCTGGGCTAGAGTGCTGTGGTATCAGCCTAGCTCACAGCAACCTCAAACTCCTGGGCTCAGGCAATCCTCCTGCCTCAGCCTACAGGCATGTGCCACCATGCCCGGCTAATTTTTTCTATGTATTTTTAGTTGGCCAATTAATTTGTTTCTATTTATAGTAGAGATGGGATCTCGCTCTTGCTCAGGCTGGTTTCGAACTCCTGACCTTGAGCAATCCGCCCGCCTCGGCCTCCCAGAATGCTAGGATTATAGGCGTGAGCCACCGCGCCTGGCCAAGAAGTTCCTTTTTAATAAGGCTCGCCATATTTGGAGGGAAAGGGGTAACTTCATAAAATTTACTCAGTGTTGCCAAGCTTGTACAACCCAGAATTATTTTCATCTAGATTCTTGGATATGCTTCCACATAAAATAAAACACACTTGCAGGTGCTTTTTATCTTTGCACTTGAAGGTACATAAACTCCTGAAAAAATTGTGAATTATCACACTTTTGTGAAGGTAATATGATAGAGTTTAAGAATATTAGAGAAAATCATATATAAATTCAGACTTTACATCCCATGTTAGCTCTGTAATCTTGTGCCTCATATTCCACATCCGAAAACAAGGATAAAGTCCTAGCAAAATGCCTGGCACACTAAAGTGCTAGTTCAGTAAGTAGCAGTGAGCCTAATTTTCTCTGAATTCACCTTGAGTCTTCTGTACTTTTTTTCTCACAGATGTACCCTTCTTCTCCATCCCCAGTCCTACCTCATTTCTTTAGCAAATACTTTTATGTTTCTCTTCATCAAAACACTCATATTCTGAAGCTTTGCCTTATCCCCTTAATGTCAAAGTTCTTTACTCCTTCCTTTGCTAATTCTGTGCACTGCTTATAACTATTTAGCATAAATTTTAGGAGGTTCTCCTTTATCTTGCCATCTTCCCTACTGCTTTTTATAAAACAAGAAGGAATATACATTTTATATACTCTAAAGAATATAATAGGGACTGGCTTGGTTATAGCTTTTAGGAGTCCTTTTCTAGAAGACAGTAGGGCCTCAAAAATTTGTCCTTCCCATACAAGCTTTTTCAAACCTTTGAACCTTCTCTGTATTAGTACAGGTTGTGCTTCCCTGATCTGAAAATCCAGAATCCTCCAAAATCTAAAACTTTTTGAGTGCTGACATGATGCCACAAGTAGAAAATTCCACACATAAGTATAAACATAAACTTTGTTTCATGTACAAAATTATTAAAAATATTATATAAAATTACCTTTAGGCTATGTGTATAATGTATATATGAAACATAAATGAGTTTTGTGGTTCGACTTGGGTTCCGTTCCATCCCCAAAGATATCTCATGTATATGCCAATATTCCAAAATATGAACAAATCTGAAATTCAAAACTTCTGGTTCCAAGTATTTTGGATAAGAGATACTCAACCTGTATAGTCATTTTGGCCTTCACTTTAAATTTCTGACCTGCTTTTCTTTCTTTTCCTCTATAACTCCACTTACCTATCTGTGCCAATGTTCCCAGCTATTATTTTATGTTTTCCATGTTTATATATTTTTATAGAAATGTATTTTCTACTAGAACAGTTCTTACCTGCTGGTGATGCCCTCAGAGGACATTTGGCAGTATCTGGAGATATTTTTGGTCATCACATTTTGGGGTAGGGTGGGTATGTGTTACTCAGGCAAGTATTGGTAGAGGCAGGTCTGCTGCTAAACATCCTACAGTGCATGCACAACAGACCACCCGAAAAATTTTCTGTAAAGACCCCTTTCTGGCATCCTGGAATGGATCCTGGTGATGAGTATATTATTTCATGCTTGTGACAAAAGTTTTTGACAAAGATGTATACTCTCTCATGTTTATTACAGTAATATTTTTTAGGGGCTAGAATTTTTCTTACATTATGTAAATGATGTGATTATTCTTATTTATAGAATTCAGGCATGACTCAGTTTCTTAGTATGGACAATCATGTATAGTTTTGAAGACATTTCAAAGGTAGTAAATTTTTATTCCACAAACTTCTGTTTTGTTATGTGATAAATTATATTTTATTTAAACTCTAACCAATGTGATTTTCCTACCGTATCTATTTATTTAGGAAACTTTTAAGTATGAGATAATGTGTTATGGTAGAATAAGCATGGGCCCTACACCTAACACTAGGCTGGATTTGACTCAGTTTGAATCTTTATTTGCAGTGAGTAGTCACTTAATATCGTGGACTCTGTCTAATAATGGACCTAATAATCTTTGCTTATTTTTGTGAGAAATGCAGATAAAGAGTGTAGAAGGCCTATTAAAGTTTTTCCTTTATTATAGGACATTTTCTACATTGAAAACCAAAAGGAATATGAAAATAAAAAAGCTGCTAGAAAGAGGAGAACACAGGTGTTGGGGAAAAAGATGAAACAAGCTATTAAAAGTCTAAATTTTCAAGAAGATGATGATACATCACGAGAAACTTTTGCAAGTGACACAAATGAGGCCCTGGCCTCGCTTGATGAGTCACAGGAAGGACATGGAGAGGCCAAGTTGGATGCAGAGGAAGCCATTGAAGTTGATCATTCTCACGATGTGGACATCTTTTAAGTATATTTTGGACATTTTGAGAAATAAACCTTTCTAAAATAACAATGTAATAAAACATTTCAACTGAGATTGCTACATTTTAGTTTGCACTGATAAACGTGAGAATCTGCAGAAGAGAGAATTGTTTTCTTGTTTTAAATAAAAATTAATACGTGTGGGGAGATGAATGGGATTGATAGGAACACTTAAAAATATCTCGTGTCTGACAAAAATACTTAGGAGTACATAGCACACGATTTAATTTCTCAGTCTATTGTATTTGCTAAATATTGTGAGAATTACTAGTGGATAATCAGTTTTGTCCAAGTCATTATAACAACATGCCATTCAAAAGTTTATTTGCTCTTTCTGATTTATCTTTGCAGTGTGAATTATGCTTTGGTTTCATAACATTCCGCTAAAAGATCCTAATGGGACATAAAAATTATTAAACTGTTACAAGTGCATTCAAGTTTCTTTTTTCTGTGTTCTGAAAACTCTTAGGCAATTTTAAGGATAGAGACTAAGAGTTAATACTGAAGGCTCTTCCCACTTGTCCTGAAGTAAATAAATGTGTGAAGTTTCCCAAAGAAGTATTCGGTTAACTTTGTTTTGGACTTCTTATCAAGTTGGTCATATATTAAATACTCAATGTGACCTGTATATTACCATGGACATTTAAAAAAAATTCCCAGTGGCAGCCTGCCTAAGACTATTTTACCTTACATTAAGGAAGTTCTTTATTTAAAATATCACATCTGCATGATTTACTCATTTTTATTAATGAAGAAAATAGGTAGTTTAGATGTTTCAGGAGTTAACTATAGTTAACAAAATAAAGAAAAATGTGCTTAATAAGCAAAAATTTTATAATGTTAAGGAAAAATGTAAAATTCAACAATAGTTTTTATCAATAAACTATTCTTTATGGACAACAAAGTCTTTCAGTAATTCTTAAAAATATGGTCATTGAAGTTGGATCTAAGGAAAATAGTTATCAGTTGCTTTTTATTTATAAAGAATACAAAAGTAAAATTAGATTTTTTGCAGTCCTTTATGAGCTTCCAGTGATTTATATTTTAAATCTCAAATATTCTTTGATAAAATTGCTGTAACCAAGGTAAGAAAAATATTTTAAATAGGTAACTGGGTATCATCGCTGAGATTATTTATGAGGTGATTTTAAAGATAAAGTACATTAAGAAAGTCAGCATTCAGAATATTTACATGCCACATATTAATGTAAATATTGCTAAAATTTCTAGCGAAAGTTATGGTTTTTAAAGAGCATTGATGCCTGATGCTGCTTTATCTTCATTAAGGTTGGTCCTTAATGCCACTTTGGTGGTTTGGTTTGGTTTGGTTTGGTTTTTACAGACAGGGTCTCACTTTGTTGCCCAGCCTGTAGTACAGTGGCACGATCATAGCTCACTGTAATCTCGAACTCCCGGCTCAAGGGATTCCCCCACCTCAACCTCCCGAAGCACTGAGATTCTATGTGGGAGCCACTGCAGCTAGCTTGTGGCTCATTTTTATCAATAGTTGTTTCTTCCACATTTGGAAACCACACAGATTTCTGACTTGTATTACATCCTACTCTCATACAGAAACCAATGCTGCAGTTTTTAAGGTTCTTTAAAAATAGTATCTAAGATTTCTCTAAACCTTTCTGGCTGTCCAAATCTAGATGTCCAAACTGTTCCCAGGTGTGTATTCAGTTAATACTCTTCATCAAATCAGCATATCTTGCAGTATTTCTTCCTGGTCAACCTAACACTTTCTATTTGCCAGCTAGTAGAATTTATACTAATAAGCCTCTACCTCTCTGTCATAGTAATTTAAGCGTTCTTTCTCACCTGTAACCTTTATTAAAATTAGTTTTTATAATCAAAAATATTCTACAATATAACCTCAGGGGATAAAATAGGTTGGACTGGTTTGTGTTTAAGCAAATTTGATTTACACTGAAAAAGTGTGTCTAAGTAGTAGGAAGGTGAAACAAATGGGACACGTATCAACCATGTGCAGTATATAGTGAGGTTGAGCATTCTCTCATGACCTGTTGACTATTTGTATGTCTTTAGAGAAATGTCTATTAAGATCTTTTGCCCGTTTTTAAAATCACCTTATTTGTTTTTTTGCTGTTGAGGTAAGTTCTTTATATATTCTATTAACCCCTTGTCAGATGTATAGTTAGCAAGTATTTTCTCCTATTCTGTAGGTTGTCTCTACACTTTTTTTTTTTTAAAAAAACAGTCTCACTCTGTTGCCTGGGCTAGAGTGCCGTGGCATCAGCCTAGCTCACAGCAACCTCAAACTCCTGGGCTTGAGCGATCCTCCTGCCTCAGCCTCCTGGGTATCTGGGACTACAGGCATGCGCCACCATGCCTGGTTAATTTTTTCTATATATTTTTAGTTGGCCGATTAACTTCTATTTTTAGTAGAGACAGGGGTCTCACTCTTGCTCAGGCTGGTCTCGAATTTCTGACCTTCAGCGATTAGCCTGACTTGTCCTCCCAAAGTGCTAGGATTACAGGCGTGAGCCACCGTGCCCGGCCTTTTTTTTTTTTTTTTTTTTGAGACAGAGTCTTGCTGTGTCACCACCCCAGGTAAAGTGCAGTGGTGTCATCATAGCTCACAGCAACCTCAAAGTGATACTCCTGCCCCAGCCTCCTGAGTAGCTGGGATTACAGGCACATGCCAGGAGCCCCGGCTAATTTTTCTATTTTTAGTAGAGATGGGTTCTTGCTCTTGCTCATCTTGAACTGAGCTCAAGCAATCCCCTCACCTTGGCCTCCCAGAGTGGGTTAGGATTACAGGCATGAGCCACCATGTCCAGCTCAAGAAGAGAGATTTTAAAAAGCACTGAAAATGTTTCTGAGCTCAACACTCTTAATCAGCTGCTAATGTAACTGCTAAGGGTTGCCCTTAAGTTAGCAAAACATTGTTACATCAGAGCAGCAGTGTCATAATTAGACTAGTGAGTGAGTGACGTTCTAGATGAATTCCATCCACTTCTGGCAGTGATGGCTTCAGGAAAAGACACTTGTCCTACCTTACCTAAACTCGCCAACAACTGCTGTGATGAGAATTTCTATAAGCCTGCTAATAAGTGAGGACTCAAGGGTTCTGGGGGTTTTTGTTGTGTAATCTGGGAGCTACATAGATGAGGATAATAACTTTGTGCTTCCCTTTGGCATCTATATAGAAAGCTTTATGTTCCAGAGGGAAACGTACCGTGTGTCCCCAAAAATAAGACCTACCCATAAAATAAGCTCTGGCAGGATTTCTAAGCATTTGCGCAATAGAAGCCCCACCCTGAAAATAAGCCCTAGTGATGGGCGTGGCTGCGCAGCGCATCTGCACAACCCATGCTTTTCGTCGCGGAGCAGGAAAGAACACGAGCAGCCCTTCTCATCTGCCCCCTGAGAGCTCTATTGCTTGACATGAGAGATCGGGGCCAATTGTTCAAAAGGAAATAGAGTCGCAAGAAATTCAGGATGGAATTCAGGATTTGGAGAGTTATGATAATGTTCCAGAAGAAGATGACTTAACTATATCTGAATAAATGTAGATTGTTGTACTGTACTTAAAAAAATAACACATCCTCTGAAAATAAGCCCTAAGGTGTCTTCTTGAGGAAAAATAAATATAAGACCCTGTCTTATTTTGGGGGAAACACGGCACAGGGAAAGTGACTCTGACCTAAGTGTAGGGCATGTATAAACTAAGAAGCTAATATAGTTACTGGGTTTTTTGTGATTGTCCAGAAATTTCCTTCAGGCAATGGGTAGGCCTAAGACAAATCACTGTGCTCTGCCTTCTCCCTCAAAATCAGGTTAAAATGGACTTTGTGGGTGAATCGCAAAGGATGGTGTGCAGTTGGAGGCGCAGAACCCAGCCGTGACTTTTGACTTTGGTGACATGTAGGGATTTAAGTCTCAGTGGCACCTCTCTCTGTCCTGAAGCTCCAGTGGTCAGAGCAGACATATACATCTCCCTTCTGTGGAATGATGCTGAAACAATCCTATTTAACTTACAAGATAACTTTTCTTCTTTCCTAATCTTCAGGTATGATGAGATTCATTTGCCACGGTTTTCATTAAAGCAAGGGATGATCCCAAGACGTTATGTTATGCCTTGGAAAGAAAACATGAAATTCAGGAAAGTGAATCTGAAGGTATTTTCCCATAAATAGTGCTAAGGAAAAAAAAATATATATATATACCATTTACTATATCTCTGAATAGACATACATAACTATATAAAAACTATTGTGATGTGCTTATAAACTTGCAAACAAAATTTAAATAGCAGGTTCTATTCAAATAACCCAATTACAAACTTAAAATAGATATACCGGAGGATTTCAGAGTCTCCACATCATGTTAGCTTGCAATCGTTAAGAAGCTCATCAGCAGTAGGTGCCATTAAAAGCTACTACAGAGGCCGGGCGCGGTGGCTCACGCCTGTGATCCTAGCACTCTGGGAGGCCGAGGCGGGCAGATTGCTCAAGGTCAGGAGTTCAAAACCAGCCTGAGCAAGAGCGAGACCCTGTCTCTAATAAAAATAGAAAGAAATTAATTGGCCAACTAAAAATATATAGAAAAAATTAGTTGGGCATGGTCGTCCCAGCTACTTGGGAGGCTGAGGCAGGAGGATCGCTTGAGCCCAGGAGTTTGAGGTTGCTGTGAGCTAGGCTGACAACACGGCACTCACTCTAGCCGGGGCAACAGAGTGAGACTCTGGGGGAAAAAAGCTACTACAGAGATAGGATGGAGATGGCCAACTAGACACAGGCAGCATGTGCCTCCTCACGGGAAGGAACCAGAATAGTGAACAGCGTCTCACGTTTTGAAAGGAGCGCCCAGGAGAGTGAAGGGAAGCTCCTGGACACCCGGCAGCGGTGAGCGCGAGGCCCTCGGTGTCCCCTCGCTGAGATGCGCTTGCTTTCGGGCGGCTGCGAGAGAAGCCCGGACCCCGCGGTCCCGGGCGACCCCGGAGCTGCCGGGCGGGCGGGCGCACGCAGGCGTTGCGGGCAGGGAGCCCGCGAGGAGCCCCACGGGATGCGGGCCGAGCGGTTGGAGAGGCGGCCCCGCGCGGACAGGAGGGCTGCGGGCCTGCGCACCGCGCGGTCGAGGCGGCGCCCTGCCCTGTCCGGCTGCTGCTGAGAGTGAGGCGGGAGCAGGCGGCACTTCCAGTTCCTTGCCCAGGCTGCCTGCCTACCCAGCAGTCTGGCCGCGGGCCCAAGGTGTCATTTTGAGAGACTGACACTGGGCCGTGCCCCCTCAAGCTGGGTCTGCGCCTGACCCGGCGGCAGCCCCTGGCGGGCCGCGGAGGCGCCGGGAAAGCAGGCTTTCCAGCACGTTCGCGGGCAGGTGCGTCTCCAGGGACGGCGCTCGCCGGCCGGCCCGCCCAATCCGTTGCGGCCTCCAGAACACCAGCACTGACCTCTGGGTCCCGGCGG